ATGACCACAATGTTGTGATTGATGCAGTTTAGTCACTCCAGAATATGCAGAGGGAGATCTTGGCAGCTTTGCAAACTCTCACTGAGGCTATTATGGCCATAGCTTCTAGACCAGCTCCAGTGCAAGCACCTTCACTTGTAGTAGTCCCAAACCCAATACCTAACTTGTTCCTTAAGGTTCAGATTCCGATCCAGGTGCCTTTGGTGGTGCCTCAGGCAAACGGTACGGCCGCTGGTTCAGCTACCCAGGAGCAGATTGGACCATTCCAGCACACTCACTTTGTTACTCTTGCCGATGTACAAGCTATGCTCGAGCAAGTGCGTAGTAAGAAGCAGCTGCCGTCTCTCCTAGACCCAGATGTGAAGCCCCCATACTCTCAGGAGATATTGACTATGCCATACCCAACTGTGTATATAGTACCCAAGTTTGTTAAGTTTGATAAAAAACAAGGCAATGCCAGAGAACATGTGGTGAGTTTCACTGAAACTCTTATCGTCTATGGCAGTGACCACTTTATGTGCCTTCGGGAGTTCTCCAAATCACTTAGTGAAAGGACTTACAGTTCGCATGTGAACTTGGCTCCCAACTCGATTAAGAGTTGGGAGGAGATGGTGAACAAGTTTCACACGAAGTTCTTCAAAGTCCAAGAGAAAGTTACAACCGTCACACTTGGGCGAAATGTCCAAAAAGAAGGTGAAGATATACTGGACTATGTTAAGCAGTTCCAAGACAAGGCTATTGACTTTTATGAGCCAGTGGATGAGGGTCACTTAGTCAGCATATGTGTGGAGGGTGACATACGCGACTACAAAATTTTCTTGGTGAATTATAATCTTCCTACCTTTTCAGCCTTAATTGAGACAGCTAGAAACTTCAGTACCACTGGTCCTTTACACAAATTTGGTGACAACCATCGCTACTCTAACAGTAGCAGAGTTGCTGCGGTAACCTCTATAGGAGGAGCCGCTCGCAAGCGAAGGCCTCGTCCTCTCGGAAGATGAAGAAGAGTTATGAGGATAAAAATCCATATCCTTGCAGCCTTGAGAATATTAAGGCCTTGGTTAAAGAATGGGTCGTTGATGGTGAACTTACTTTGCCTCCAGTTGATGTCACTCAAAGCAAGAAGGACAAAGAAAGCCCATATTGTTGTGTCTATCACAAAACCACCAGACACCCTACTAGGGACTGTTGGACGTTGAAAAGTATTTTCAAGAAGAAAGTTGACGTAGACGAGCTGAAATTCAAAGATGCCGGTAATCGTGATATAAGAAAGGACCCCTATCCTAATCAGAATGAGAAGGGGAAGAATATACACATGATTGACTATCTTGGGCCTGTGCGCATCAAGTGCACATGGCGTCCTACTATGATGAGTTAGAAGAAATCACAACTGGCCAGCTCCCTGAAACAATACCTGCAGAGGCAAAATTCGTAGAGGATACTCATGCTCAAGCCTTGCAAAATTCTATTAAGTTTCGCGCTTTCTTTGACTAGTTGGGGCTGAGCTAAGCCACCAGGTTGGAAGCAACAAAGGCCCTCATTAATATCTCCGAAGTGCACCATGATGAAGTTGCTGAGGCTAAGGAGTATGTGCCTCGGCGCATCTAGGAAGATTATGGGTCCATCACTTTTTCAGAAGTAGACAGAGCATACCCATTTCTTCATAACCATCATCTTTTTGTCACAGCTTACATCAATGATGGAGAGTTCAAGAGTGCTTTCCTTGATGGTGGGGCGTCTATAAACATCATCACTACTGACACTTTTGCAAAGGCTGGTATCCTAGAATCTAGGATGGTTTGCCAACCCATCACTGTAACGGGTTTTGGTGGTGACCAAAAAAGTTACTAGGGGTCATGTTTTCATGGACTTAGCAGTTGGCGAGATCCGTTCTGCAACTGAGTTCTATATGATTGAAGCAGGCACAAATTACCATATGATACTTGATAGATCTTGGATGCACCGATATGGGGCTATCCTATCAAGTTATCACCAAGGCATAAAGGCAAAGTTGGAAAAACTCATAGTGACCATAAATGCGTCTGAAAAGCCATTCGGAGTGGAAGAGGCACACTATTCGGATGCAATTTTGTTTACTGAGTTGTCTACAAATGAAACTCCATGGACTGATAAGATTGAAGGGGTAAAATTGTCGAAGTGAGAAGACATTCGAGATGCGGAGGCTGCTCCAAAAAGTGGTGGACAGAAAAGGAGTAGCGAATCCACAAGTTCTTTGCCCAAGATTGTTAAGGTGTGTGAGGGCGGCAAGACAGTTTATTACTTATGACGGTCTTAGGGGCCAAACTTCATACCTTGGGAGGATGGCCCCGAGATGAATAAATGTGACGATGAGGAGTCCCAAGACGAGTTGGTGGAGATGCCTGAGACCGCCCCTGAATGTATGCAAGGTAGGCCTAAACCCCAGCAGGAGGTACTTGCTAAGGTCAACCTTAGTGACTTGCCTGGGTAGAACAAACTGGTGTTTATCAGTGATATAATGGCTTCAGCAGCTAAGGCAAAATTGATAACACTACTAAAGTAATACAGTGATGTCTTTGCTTGGACATATGACGAGATGTCTGGTCTTGACCTATCCCTTGTCACTCATCATCTGGGCACTTTTCCCAACTCTAAACCAATCAAGCAGCATGCTCGGAAGTACCACCCTGATCTTGAAGCAAAGATTAAGACAAAGATAGAAAAGTTGTAGAGGGCCAAGTTCATTGAGCCTATACAGTACCCAACTTGGCTAGCAAACATTGTGCTTGTGCAGAAGAAAAATGGTCAGATCAAGGTTTGCGTAGACTTTCACAACCTGAATAAGGCTTGCTTGAAAGATGAGTTTCCATTGCCCTATGTTGACACACTTGTCAATTCTACTACAGGCCATCAGACGTTCTCCTTCATGGATGGGTTCCATGGTTATAATCAGATCAAATTGGCACTAGAAGACGCAGAAAAGACGACTTTTAGAATGCCTTTGGGAAATTTTTTCTATACGGTGATGCCCTTCGGTTTGAAAAACGCAGGGGCAACCTACCAGTGGGCTATGACTGTAGTGTTCCATGATATGTTGCATCATGAAGTTGAAGTATATGTGGATGATCTGGTGGTCAAGTCTACTAAGGCAAGTTGACACCTCTGCGACTTGGAAAAAGTTTTTCAACGTTGCTGCAAATTCTACCTCAAGATGAACCTTCTCAAGTGTGCCTTTGGAGTTACCGCCAGCAAGTTCCTTGGCTTTCTCATACACCAGCAGGGGATCAAAGTAGATATAGATAAGATCAAGTCAATCATGGAGATGCCACTGCCACGCTCATAAAAGGCCTTGAAAAAATTCCTAAGTAAAGTGTCATACCTCAGGAGGTTCATTTCAGCCCTTGTTGAGATAACCTTTTTCCTTTGGGGCACTATTGAAAGGGAATTACAAGTTTGAATGGTTGCAAGAACACCAACAGGCGTTTGATATGGTGAAGAAAGCACTTACTTCTCCACTTACAATGATTGCCTCACAGCCCGAAAAGCATTTGGTACCATGCTTGACTTCTACTCCTCGGTCTATTGGAGCCCTACTTGTCCAAGACATAGATGGCATTGAGAAGCAAGTCTATTACATCAATTGCAAAGTCAATAGTGCTGAGTCGCGATATACCCCAATTGAGAGACATTGTTTAGCCTTAATCTTCACAGCGCAGAAGTTGCGTCACCACTTTTTGGCACACCCGATCCAGGTTGTGACCCGGAGTGATCCAGTTCGCTACTTGCTGAGCAAGCTCGCTCTGACTAGAAGATTGACGAGATGGCTCTTGGCTGTAGCAGAATATGACATCACTTGTGTTACTCCCAAGGCTATTAAGGGCCAAGCACTTGCAAACTAACTGGCCCAGTTCCCATCTGGTGAACATGAACCTACAGAGGTACCCTTACCAGGTGAGGTCCATGTCTCAGCAGCTGCAATTGAGACTTATTGGGACTTAAAATTTGATGGAGCTTCTGGAGCTGGGAAAGGTGGAGCTAGCATAACACTAACCAGTCAAGAAGGAGAGAAGTTTTATCTATCATATAAGCTTGACTTTGAGTGTTCAAACAACGAGGCTAAATATAAGGCGCTGATACTGGGTCTAATAGTTGCCCAAAAGAAGGGCCTCCGCAAGTTGAAAATTTGGGCGACTCTAAGTTAGTTGTCAAGCAAACGATGGGTGATTTCGTCTTGAAGGAGCCTTTGTTGGCCTTGTATCACACCATAGTTCAAAGGTTGCTCACTCAGTTTGATGATGTCCAAATCCAGCATACTCTTTGAACACGCAATCGTTTCCCCGATGCCTTGGCTACACTGGGGGCAAAGGTGGAGATACCAGATGATAGTATAGCCATAGTCATCGAGAAAAGAACAAAACCAGTAGTGCTAGCCAAAGAACATACTGAGCAAGATACTGAGGGGTGGAAAATTGATATTGTCCAACAGTTGAAAACTCGCCAGGGAATAATCAGACTAGCAGAACTTGCATCATTCTTGCTCTCCAGATGAGAGTTGTATTTTTGTGGTCCCAACAACTTGCTGGCAAGATGCTTTGGTAGACAAGAAGCAACTTACAGGCTTAAGTAGATCCATGCTAAGTCCTGTGGAGATGGAGATATCAGTCTATACCAACGGATACAGAGGCAAGGGTATTACTGGTTAGAGATGGAGAAGAAAAGTACTGAGTTGTAGAGGCAATGTGCAAAGTGTCAGTCCTATCCTAAGGAAAAGGAAGCTCATTTCTTAAGCAGTGAAAAATGGAGGCAACCGTATATCGACTACCTTGAAAATGGCATACTACTTGAGAACAAAGCCTATGCAATCAGAGTTAAGAGGCGAGCCCTCCGCTTCTTCCTTGACCAAGGCAAGCTGTACCGAAGAAGCTTCGAAGGAGAACCTTTAGTGTGCTTATCAAAAGATGAGGCAAATGAGGTGCTGAGGGAAGCCCACAAGACAGAGCATCAAGGAAGACATCGATTATATGGACATCTTATTCACCTTGGCTACTACTGGCCAACAATGGAAGAAGGTACTAAAAACTTTGTGAAGAGATGCCAATCCTGCCAAAAGTTTGGGAACTTGATACATGCATCGGCAGTTGAACTGTGCAACATCAAGACTTCTTAACCGTTCCATACTTAGGCATTTGACCTGGTAGGTCCTATAGCACAGCAATCCAAATGCTATAGATGGATACTTACAGCAACTGAAGTTAGCACCAAATGGGTAGAGGCTATACTGATGAGGAAGGCAGATGGGGTAGGAGTAACCAACTTCATCAGAGAGAACATAATCTGTAGGTTTGACATACCCAAAGTAATGTTGTTTGACAATGGAACTTCTTTTGTAAATCGCCACGTTGGAAGACTGCTAGATGCCTACCAGATTAAACACCGCAAGTCTAGTCCATACTATCCCCAAGGGAACGAAAAAGCTGAGGCGACCAACAAAATCCTCATCCGAATACTTAGTAAAATGATGGATGATGCAGGGGGCACATGGTCTGAATAACTCCCCGTAGCACTCTGGGCATATAGAACGTCAAAGAGAAAGCCAACTCAGGTAACCCTATTTTTCCTAGTATATGGGTCCGAAATTGTGTTACCAGTTGAGTTGGCAGTACCCTCAGCAAGGATGGCTATGTCAGCACACTTATTTCCAGACAGTAGAAAGAATGACATAGAGGTAGTTGAAAAAAGAAGAGATCGGGCCTTGCGGGCAATGGAAAAGTATCATCAATCCATAGCCCGTGTTTACAATCAATCTGTTCAATACAAAAAGCTCAAGGAATGAGACTTAGTATGGAAAACAGTGGACGTAATCATACGGGGGCAACCAATTCCCAAGTTCTCACCCAGATGGGAAGGCCCCTACAAAGTTGCTGAGACAAGCAACAGCGGGTATTACAAGTTGACAAGAATGGATGATGGATTTAGAACTGGCCCTATCAACGCCAAGTATGTCAAAGAATATTTTCCTTAGTTTCTTTTGTTCAGGAAAAAGAGTTGCAAGTTTCTTTGTTAATGCTTCCAAAGCAGAGTGTAAAGAAAGTGTCATACACTTAGTAAGCCTATTGCTCTCATACACACTTAGTTTGAGGAACGTTTTCCATACTTAGTGAAATTTTACACTTGTAAAAGCTTAGTCATGGTGGAGTTTTGCTCACTGCAAGAGTTTTGCTTGTCTTTAGAAGCTATGTAAAAGCAATGTAAAGAAAATGATGAAATGAAACCCAAAACATACTACCAAACGTCCATGCTTTCCATTAAAGTCAAACTTCCAGAACTTGATTACAATGTTTGAAAAGAAGCTACGACAGAGAAGAAGAAAAGAAAAGGCACACCATGCACAATGAAATAACAAAATAAAGAAGAGAAAATGAAAGAAATCATAACAAAGTCATAGAGTTACATCAAGTCAAATCAAACCCTTCAAAAGGGAGTCTATCAGAGTCACATCTTGAGGCAACTGAGCAACCAATTCAAAGTCCTTCTCTCTGAACTGAGCCAGGTTCCACTGGTGCTGCTCTAAGGCACCCTCACATTTCTTGATAGTCTCCTCTAAGGATGCAATCATCGCCACATTGTCAGCATGCTCAAAGAAACCATCAACTGCCTGAATCCTGTCCCTCATCCATAATAGGTTCAAACCATTCCTCTCAAAGCCACTCAGGTTGGCCTCAGCACTTTCCACAAACTTGCTGGGGGTTGTCAGGATCTGCTTGGTAGCAAGGTCACGAATGAAACTAGCAAGTAACTCTAGCAGTGCCGTCTACACTATAGGTCCAGGAACATTAGAGGTAGTAAAGGTGTCTGGATGCAGTCCTTAGATACGAGCAAGAGTGGAGGCAGCTTCGGAAAAGACCCAATAACTTAGGAAAGAAACTTTCTCTAAGGATTGAGGGGACTCTCTCACATCACCGCCAGCTTCAATTACTAGAAGGAGACTGATGAAGCAATCAAAGGTTTAAGGGCGGTGCACTTCTCTTGAAGATGATTTCCCAGCAGTATTAGAGTGAGTAGATGCTGGCTAGCGACCGGGTGAACTAGCCTCACGAGAAAGGCCAAAACTACCTGCACCGTCATGTCGCTTCGAAAAGAGGTCGTCCATCTAGTAATCTCCAACATTCAAATCTGGAACAACAGTGGTATCCATTGCAATATAAAAATCCTGAGACACCTCAAGGTTAACTGGCACTTCTGGAAAGTAAGTGGGGTACAAGTTTGCTAGCTGTTCAAAGGTTGCCGAAGCAACTGGGTCAGAGGTCCCAGCGGCAATAATGACATTGTGGGCGGCTAAGGTGACAACTATCTCTGCAAGTTGGTCCAAATTTAGGGGGGGCAGTAGCAGTAGCCGCCACACCTATACTCATCTCAGCTACTTGAACGTTTGGAAGTGGAGTCTGCTGAATTAACGAAGAATCGGTAGACTGGGAAGAATCGCCAGATGCAGCTTCGAGGGGAGATGATAAAACTTCCAGCGGCTCTCTCATGCCACGATCTTCCTTAGGGGTCTCAGGTACGAAATCATCTCCGCCAATAGAGGAATGGCCAGAGTGCACAAAGTCAGAAGGGTGTGAAGGCTCTAAACCCTCAGCAACTATATCATCCGCTGCAACCTCCATAGCATCGGGAACTTGTACATTGCCTGTAGCCTCCATAACTAGCCCAGCCTCGACAACTGGCTCAGCCTCGGCAACTGGCTCGGCCTCAGTAGTCGGTTCGGCTCTCACACTTGGTTCCTCTTCAACATTTGGAAGAATTATCTTTCGGTCCCTGAGTCTTGTGACCCTAGTAGCAATGGAAAGGTTGTCGTTGTCATCTGAGTCTGAAGAAATGCCAATGGCAGTAGAAGAACCTCCTGGACCAGAGGGTAATGTGGTCGATGGGCCCTAAAAAGAAGAAGAAGATTATGAGGTTATTAAAGTAAATATAAGAAGTCTAAGGAAGTAATACAAAATATTTTCTAAGTATGGATATCCTTTGGAGTCTTTTTCTGCTTGGTGAGGCATGTGCCTCGGTAACTGGTGCCGTTGCTATTTAGGCTGCCCTCAGTCGGGAGCAAGTTATGCGTACTGTTGTGCCGACTTGGAGAAGAGCAATCTGCAAGGGTCGAACATACATTGCCCCAGACGGGTGAGGCTCTTCCACAACAGGCCAAGATAGAAACTTGAAGTGGCATAATATGTTGGTCTGTTTCCCTCGGCCGGAGGGCAGACAAAAAGACAAGTCGGGCTGCGGAATGGGCTCTATCGCGGGAACAACGAGAGCACTGTCACAAAAATTAAGGAAAGAATTAAGGTTACGGTGCCAGAACAATCTGTTATCAGAAGTAGAGGTGCACTCTCTCCCAAGTGAGGGAAGCTCCATGAAGCCTAAGCCCTCCACAAGTAGAGTAGTGTAGTTACGGGCAAATCGCTGAAAGCTCTGATGGAAATCAGTCTGAGGCAGAGGGGCATGCAAGATACCCTGATCCATTCTAAACTGCTTAAGGACCCTATTTGGTCAATAGACGTTGCTGGACATGCCCTCTTCATTCCACACGAGCAGAAATTCGGGGCGAATCATGGCAGCAATAAGGAGGGAATTGGCTTGGACACTGTTGAGAGAAAAATCAACGTGACGGGCCTCTAAAAAAATAAAAGAGGACACGAGAAATGCCTGGAAGAGACTGAGTCAAAGGGCGGCACACACACTCCTTCATACGGTCAACATAGTCTGCAGAGGGTCTGTTGGTGCCGAGACCAGACCACTGAGAGATGCGAGGGAGGGATTGTCACATTTGCCTTGTGACAAGCCGACCCTGTGTATCTAAAACAAGACGGCCCTCTGCATCAAAGACTTTATTGCTGAAGAAGGGCTCGTGTTCCTTTGGGATAGGGCCCATGGTAGGGAATCTCTCGTAGAAAAAACTAGTCAGAAATTAAGTGTGTACGAAACTCCACACATCGTAGCGGCCCATAGACCGCTCCATGTCTAAATGGATGAGATCAAGATGGAAATATAGGTTCCCCAAGAAGAGAGGGGCCAGAGGAATCTGACTGCCGTTGCAAAGCTTGACAGCCAAAGGAAACACCAGGGGATTAATGCTTTCAGCAGGGTTACTTGGTAGAACGAAGAAGGAGATGAAATAGCTAACGAAGGAAGCCAAGTACAAGTCGCTGCGGTAGCCCGGCCTGACTACGGAATTGCGGTTCTACTCAGTGATGTCACCTACAACTAGTTGTAGGTCCTTGAAGAAATGCTTCAGCCAAGAAAGGTAGGTGGTTTTGTCTTTTTTAGGCCTCTTTTAGGGAGCGGTTTCCCGGTTCTAAGGCCATACCAGGAACCAAACTTTCGCGCCTCTCGAAGGCGCTTTGGAGAGCAGTGACGGCAACTTGCTCTGCAGGAGTCAGGGACATTGGATCAAAGAGGTGATCTCCACGGGTGCTGAGGCATAGAAGGACAACAACATTTTCTAGGGTTAGGGTTATCTCCCTCCATGCCAAGGCAAAAATGTGAGTGTCGCGGCTCTAGTGGAAGACGACTATATCAGCGTTGGTCTGCACCTTGCGCACTGATAACTCCCTTGAAATCAGATGGCGTTGACGAACATCTCGCAAGCGCTGCTCAAAGCCACCATCAGCAATAATGTCATCGACTTAGAGGGACCAATTTGCTAGAGGACCTGAGTGAGTGCAATAATAGACATATGAATGTGGAAAGTCACCACGCTCCACGTGGATTCGCAGCACAGAGGTTGGGTTGACCATGTCAGCATCATCTGAAGTAGCCTCCCCAAAAGGGAGTAGAGGCTCCTCTAGTGGAAGGGCATCAGGAATGAAGGAGTCAACTGTCTTCCAGAAGGGGTCAGGCAGCCCTCCGATGTATAGGGCCCGCCTCCACTCACAGTAGGGGGTGGGGCAGCCCTGTCAGAAAGAAACCTCGTGCTGGCCATGAGAATGAATAAAGAAAGGTAAGAAAGGCTTTGGAAAGTGGGGGCAACGGAGAGAATAAGACAAATGAGACAGAAAGGTGTGTTGAGAACAAGTGGGGGACCAGTGGATCCATGGATGTTATTTATAAAGAAAAAGCAGCAAAGGGTGCCAATATGCTTCCATAGGCCATTACGACCTGGCAGTCAAAAGGACACCTTTTTAGAGCTGACGTAGCTTCTAACCCAATTGACACAACCCTTGGGTTGCTTGCTGATGTCATGCATGTGCGGGAAATAGGGAGCGTGTCCTCCACATGCGCAGGGAGTAAAATGTAGAGGGACAGAAATTAAACCCCCAAACTAAGTATGGGCCTAAGCACTGAGGTCACCCCAAAGAGACGACTGAGAATAAAAAATGAGCATGGGCCAAAGTTCAAGGGAAGTGGACCAGCAGTGGGCCAAAGCAGGTCTGACCCGTCAGGGCTCCAAATAGACTCTACGAAAAAAAATGCCCAAGTCAAGTTGCATAGGCAACACCTGCAACGGTGAAGTTACAAAGGGAACATGTGCAGCGGGAAAGTTGCTGAGGCACTTTG